TTTCAATCTCCCTCCTCCACCACTTTCTCCACGTTCGATTGTGTTGGCAATGATGCTATTTGTTTCCAGGTAACGCCAGACACAACGATCGGCGCAGCGAACCTCGTCCATGGAGAGTTCATTCGTGCTGAGGTTAGTACAGCAGAGATTAAAACACTCCGTCTGGAGACGGCTGAGGAGCACTTCAATGCGGAAGGACTCCTGTTTCACCGCCAACTGCATCTCTTCGGTATTTCAGTGATTATGAATTTGTATTTAATCTTACTTAGGATTATTGCCCGTCCCTGATGTTGTCAAAACCAACCAATACTCTACTTTGGAGAGAGAAAGATGGATGAGAAATAGGAAAAAAAAGTATAGTAGAGATGTTTAGAAACAAATGAAAAGAGTTTCAACACATACAAAAGGTCAAAAATTATTTTTTCTTTAAGCTTTTCATTCACAAACAGACACACACATACACAGAAACCGGTATCTAGAGAATTGATAGAAAACGTAATGACATGTACTAACAGAACAACAATCGCCTTCTCTTTCTTTTTGTTGTTCTTGTTCAATCAACTTTCCTTACCGCAAACATTCACATATATATTTGAACAAATAAAGAAAGAGCAGATATTATCTGTCTTACCAACTATTGTTCTTCTGTCCCACCGGATTGTTTCTTTTATGGCTAACTTTATGTGCCCTTTTAAAATCTTCTTTTTTTTTTTTTTTTTCTTCCATGTTTCCTGCTATATTCTCCTTTTCCTTCCCTCCCTTTTTCCAACTCTCTCTCTCTCTCTCCCTCCATAGAGACAACATCCACCGCAACATTTTCTTTCTTTGTTTATCTAACAATTATATCCTCATATATTTCCCACTACAAAATAATAAAAAGTGATGTGATACCATGAGGGCAGAAGCCGATTCAACCAATAGTTTTAAGAAAAAATTAAAACCATAAAATCGGAAATAAAAAATATATTTACAGCAACGCCACTCAGCTTGAAGTAAATACTAATGTAAACAGAATCAACAAACAAACATCATTAAATATACAAAGAGTGTATTCAAGATAAAAAAAAAGAATACAATAGATATATGGGTAGATATGTAAATCTTATATTTCACATATCCCCAGCAGCTATATATATTCCCTATTTTTATCTCCTTCTTCTTTGTTCTTTTTGTTTTCAGCATACACTCTTCTTTTCCCCATCAGCTGGCAACGACATAAATACTCTTTCGCATGCTATAACGCACGTTGATATATTCTGCATACAGCTGAATTTCGTTATAAGAGCAGCACACATTCCCTGTGCGAGAAGTGTGGCAACTGTGTAATTCATTATGCTCTCCGTAACGTCCTCCATACGCAGTGGTGAACCAGAAGCGGTCGCCGATCCAAGAAGTGCACCAGAAGAGAGCGGTGATGCTGTCAACCCATGTGCAGTACAGGATAGAGATGTGGTCCGCACGTATCCAGTCAGTAGTGGACTGCGACAAGCGTTCAAATGACGCCGCGTTAAATTACGGCCCATAAAGAAAACACTTCGACGCATTTTTTCTACTCGACTGTTTGTTTTATTCTTTATCCGTTCTTGATTTATTGTTTCCCTTTGGTTCACTTTCGCTTTACTCAGCGGATGTGTGGTTGTGTATTAAACCTCTTTCCTATTAAAAGGATGAAGAGGGGGGAATAACTATAGTAAAGAAAAAAAAAAAAAAGAATTCAAAAAGAAATCATAATAGCAATAATAAGAGAGTAATAATTACACCACTCCACACCACAAAAAAAAAAAAAAAAACAATCACTCAAAGTACAATGAAAAGTGTTGCATCAATATGAATCTCCCTCTACCTATCTATATATATACATATATATATATATATATATATAGAGAGAGAGAGAGAGAAAGAGATATAGAAAAAAAAAAGTCCAACCGTTGACGGGTTTTCCTCTTCTCATTCCTCCCATCCTCACACATTACTCTTCCCCACGCTGTGGTTTATCGTGTGCTTCATGTGAAGGCGTATCTGTGACAATGTAAGAAATAATAGCACTTCCCTGTTCTTGTCGTTCATTCTGAACATGAAACCACATAGGTAGTTGTCGTGCAATTTGTTCCAATGTACCATATCGACGTACCATTAAACGAGCCTCTTTGGAGAGAAGATTCATTATACTTGATTCTTGTGCTCCACCAATAGAGAAAAGTGCCATCTGTCGTACGAGATCCGCCAAGGAGTTACATGGTGAATGAAGATAATGCGCTGGTGGAGGATTGCCATCCCTACGACCCACAATTAATTTATGGCAACCCAAGACTTCGTAGACTCGAAAATATTCACGATGTTTATCAAAGAAATCTGGTTTAATACTAAAAACAGAAAACGGCAGATCTCGCACTGTGGAATGTCCACGAAAACGGTTCCACTCCACAGGGTGATCCTTTGGTAACGCTTCCATCAACATTTGCGCCTTAGCAGATTCAGTTAAGTGACGCCCAGAAACGATGGTACGACCAGCGGAGGGAACACGCGCTCCTTGAGAAGCTGCCGCAAGGTAAGGTGTCCATACAAGACCATCTTTTAGAAGCAAGTACAACGAGTGATTAGCTACAAAGGCCTCCACTGTAGGATAAGCCAACTGCATTTGTTCTCGAGAATTTTTAGGTAATGAAGCTAAAAATTTTTCTGGGGAAAGTGGTTTTTCAGCTAGTGCTGTAAGACTGTGTCGCAGTACAACAGGTACTGGTGTAGTCTGCCAAGTTAAACTAGAAGGTTGTCCATCTTCCCCTAGCACCTCCCATGGACGCACCATATAAGCATTCATGTTAACATCAAACAAGTGACGAAGACGATCAAAAATGAAAATACATGCCGCATCCTTTTGTTTCGTTTCATATAGGTATAATTGTTTCATAAGATCAGATGGTAAAATATCTTTAAGATCTGCCATAGCAATTCCAGATTGTAATTTACGTCTATTTTCTGGACTTTCAGCAGCGTAAACGCGGAATGCATTTAGCAACAATGGTCCGAGTCGCAGGACTGAATATTTTATATCAATCGTAGATTCATCATTTACAAAAATACGACGTTCAGCGTCTACCATACGTAAAAACACATCATCCATTTCTTCTCCAATAACACGACAGTCTAACGATGTTGCTGGTACCCGTTGTAACTCTGATAAAATCTCCTCTACGGGCATTCCAGGGGAGAAACACATGGAACTTCGTGACATTCGTAACAAAGAACGTAAAGGAATATAATGAGAAAAAGGAACTGTTTTTTGAAGAAGAATAAGTAATTTATTGAGTTTTGGATCATCTGTGAGAGAGCCTACAATAGATGGTGCCTCTGGCAGAGACTTTACCTCCCTCCCTATACGTCCCTGATGTTGTTGTTGCTGTTGTTGTTGCCCTAAGAGTGATGAGGGTGGCGGTGGTGCTGGTGGTGGAGACAAAATACCTTTTCGTGACATATACGTTGTGGGAGCAGCCCGCACGATACCGTCGTGAACTGTGACGAGCGATGGATGTTGCAGCAGCAGTGCCTCCAACCGCCGTTCACTCCCCAACTTTCGCTGCTCCAGTGTTGGGATGGCGCGGAAGAGCTGCGCAATGCTCATCTGCTGCTGTGGGGCGACGGCGATGTTGGCCAAGACGTGGGCGATGGTGCCGGCGTTCTCCCCGGCGCGGCGCAGTTCGGCCGCCAACATGACGACCGTCACGCCGCCGGGGAGGACGGCGACGGCGAAGCGGGCGGGCCGGTCGAGGACGTACCGCCGCAGCCCCCCGGCGACGGCCGGCATCAACTCGAGCACCTCGTCGCTCAGCAGCGCACTCACCCGCGGCAGCGGCAGGGCCCCGTGACGGCGCAGCACGAGGCGCATGTTCGCCCACAGCGCGTCGTCCTCGCCGGGCGTGAGAAAACGGCGGGCCGCCGACGGCAGCAGCAGCGACGGGAGTCGGCGGAGTCCTCGCATCCCGCAGTGGTCGCAGCAGAAGCGCTCGGCTAACACATTTACATATAATTATTATATAGGGGGGTGGGGGGAAGATTGTATGTGAAGGGAGAGGAGGAAATGAAAAAATATATACATATATGATAAAATAAAATATCAAAGTGTCTTATTTAGTAAAACACAAATAATAATAATAATCATCATCATCATAATCATCACAAAAATAATAATAATAATAATAATAATAATAATAATAATAACAAATGAAAAAGGGAGAAAGTATGTACAGAACATGTTCTGTTCCATTACTTCTTTTTTTTTTGTTTCGTTTTTTTTTTTTTTTTGGTTCATCTTTCTCTTGTCTCCTTTCACATTATTCACTCCATTCTCTTCATCTTTTATCTTATACAAAGGTGTGTGCTGAAGACAAGAAAAAAGGTAAAAATAACAGCACTGTTGTCAAATAGAGCGTGAATGACCCTATTACTTCATAATGTCTGAACAGCATCTTGCACTAAATGAAACAAGCTCTGCCCTATTGCCATCCCAAGACCAACACGAATAGAACCCCAACCAATGTTCAATCGACTATTTACCCAACGCCACGCAGCCATTGGGTGACGCCTGCGTGTAGAGGAGCGCCTTATGAGATTTCGCCATGACTGTTGTGCTTCCTTTCCCAAAAGATCATTTTGATTATTGTAGTTGCTGCCAATACAGCTTTTACTACCGTTACCAATGGATGTTTGAGGAGGTTTTCCCACATCTCCTTTAGGACGGATAAACCCATTGAAACATTCGCCATTCCGATAAATAAAGTACGCCTGATAAAAGAAAGAACGAAGAAGTGGCAAATAGCGCATTGGAACCGAACCCGATGGAGCGCCATATATTACTGATCTTACATAGTTAAACGGTGAACTCGCTACAGATGCCAATAACGCAGCTACAAGATTAGAGAAAAAAGCGCACATCCCACACTTCTGACTTTTCCATAAAGAACCCTCTACATCACCACCATGATGAGTTGAGTTCCCTGCATCAACAGAACAACCAGGTGTCATACCTTTTCCAAACAGTTCTTTTGACCAATGTTGTATAAATATAACATATGAGTCAAGAAAGTCTTTGAATCCTGTGGCACGTCGACAAGATTCATACACGACACCAAAAATACAATCACGTAATGCAGTCGCACCAATGCCACGGAAAAATATTCGTAATCCATTCTCTTTGTATGCATCAAGAGCTACAGCATAAAAAGAAGAACCTACTTCGGCATTCCACATTCGATATTTAACAACTTGCATACCATTTAAAACTGAACCATTTAAGGAACCAGCTGTTGCTCCAATGAGGAAAGCATTTGTTTTCGGCGAATGAGAAGCTTGAAAATACTCTGGCATGACTCTCTCAATAAAAATACGCATAGAATCTTGCCAAAACATGTATGAGGCTCCTACAAGTGTACGATACACAGCGGCATTCATAAAACCTTGAAAAGGTTTTTCAAAGTTACGACGATCTAAAAAATGATTACGTCGAAACTTCACTCGCACATAGAGTGCCCTATCAAAAGGATTAAATATCACAGCTTGAGCAGCACCAGACATTAACGCAGGTGCTGCTGTGTAAAAAAAACCCTCTTTATTTACTGCATGTTCAAGAGTCATGCCGTCCTCCCCTTTTCTCTCCCCTCTCACGCAGAGACTATTTCCAACGACCTCCTGAGAGAATGGCGCAACCCACTCTGTACAGATACGTCACACAAAGAAGACGTAAAACCCAAGAGGAACTATGTGTGATAATAAAAATAAGAAAAAAAAAAAAAAAGAAAAAAGAAAAATTAAGCAATAACGAAAAAAAAAAATTATTTCATTAGAGTAAAGATACATTAAACTTTAAATATAATAATAATAATATATACAGGACCATATAAAAAAATCACGGATAAACAGATATATATATATATTTATCTTCTCTCATCAAATATCACATGTCTTCTTTTTCCTTTTTTTTTCTCTGGAGAGAATAAGAGAGAGAGAGAGAAAGGAATCAGTACTTGATAGAGATATAAAACATCCCTATTACATTCTAGCGTATGGTTCCTGTAATTGTTGTTAACTAAAAACAACTTATTTCTCTCTTAATCTCCCTCTCTATTTATATCTCTCCCTTTTTTTTCGTCTTTTCGCACTTCTTATTGATGAAAAGAATGTCCTTTTAGACCGCCACTTCACTCTCTGTTCTTGCAGCAGTGCACCATCATTATTATTATTGCACTGGTTTCTTCCCCCATCTATTTTTATCGTATTTCGTTCTCTAAAAAAAACCACCACGTCGTTCTCTTCTAGACCTTCCACCCCTGTTATTCACGTTGGATTTCTTGTTCCTGTTATTACTCTGGCTTTGAGTACGTGCCTTCTTCCTTAAGTGCTCTTCCGTGCCAGGAGGAGGTGGAAGTACACCAATGGGTGTGGAAGAAGCCCCAGCAGATTCTCCTGATGATGTTACTGGTCCTCTCTTGGCTGCGGATGCCGCAGTTGAAGCATCACGTCCACGTTTAAGTGGTGGTAAAGTGTACTTGCGTAACCAACTCTCTGTAAGAGCACCCATTGGAATGTGCCTGGCGGAGAAGGCGCCTAAGATCACATGTAAGTTATGACAGCATCCCAACGCCTCTACTTCTTTCTTTCCTGCAGCAGATCGTTGCATAAGTTTCTTTACTGCGTACACTACGAGAGGTTCCATCTCGGTGATAGCATTCATTAACGCAGAGCATTTTGCTGCAAATGCGTCCTCATTTAGTTGTTTTAAAAATTCAACAGGCTTCTTTTGTCCTATAGCAACAAATGCAAACAATAAAGCCTCAAGGGTACTCAAATTCTCAGGTAATACACTGGCGTCACCCATAACATGATTTAATTGTTCCAATATCGCAGTATATAATTTGTCTGTATTTTCAGGTGTAGCGAGACGAGCTGCCAGTAGTAGTATCTTTGCATGCCAGAGTCCCTTTGGTGTTGAAGTTTCAACAGGTGTTGTAAGAAGCGACGCTTCTTCCAATGCTGGTGTAATATCATAGGAGGTTGCACTAACATGCTGTGCAATAATGCTGAGAGACTCAAGAGCACGATCGCTGTTAAGTTTGTTCCTTGCAAGAAACGCGGTTAATAGTTGACGACCGCCACTCTCTCGCACCATTGGTAGTGCTGCGGCGATGGATGTGAGCTGCGCAAACTCTCGCACAGTAACGGTGGAGAGTACACGAATGATAAGACCCAGTACGTGTTCCTGCACTTCTTCTGTCCACTGCGATCGCATAGCGGGGGATTGTGCGAGTCGTCGAAGTCGCGTCATGGCCATGCGGCGCTCTTTCTTTAATTGTTCCTCCTCCTCCGCCTCGCGGTCGTCGCTGATCCAGTGCAGCAGTTTGGTGGCAACAGGCCGAAAGGCATTCTGCACGAGAGCGTCAAATGCCTTGGAAGCGGCCTGGCGTACATTCTCCGCAAAGCCATTCTCGTCCAACATCACCTGCATGAGCACATCTGCCCCTTCACGAGAGAGATACTCCCACTTCTTGTCTAGCACAGAGACAGGCCCAAGGGCGGCGATGCCCTGCACAGCAGCAATGAGTAACTGCGGGGTGTTCTCAGTACCGCTGAGAATCTTCACAAGGGATGTGACAATCTTCTTCAGTGCGTTACCATCACGTAGATGATGTCCGTAGCGAGCCACAAACTCTAATGTACGTACACGAACCAGAAGAGGGGCATCAGGGTTTTCAGCCTCTGCCAACATCTGCAGTAGTTCACGCACAAAATCGTTCACCTTCTCAGGACTTTCCGTCACAGCGGCCTGAAGAGTGGCGTACAACTCCGCAACGTTGGTATCATTGCGAAGAGCCTCTGTTGGTGGAGATCCTGGTGGTGATGTTGTTTCCGCCCCAACGCACGGCTCCACTTCTTCCGCTTCTTTTGCGGTGGTGGATGCTGTTGCCTTCTTTTTAGGGGCCATCAATGGTTGTTTGTTTAGGTATAGTTACAGGTGTGTGTGTGTGTGTGTCTCCTTTTTGTTAGGGGGTGAGATTCTGTTGAATTAAGAGACCTTAATTCACTTACGTATTGCTCCACTACATCGGTTCAAATATGAGGATGAACAATACAATCATGGAGAGAGAGAGAGAGAGTAAACAAAAAAGGGTAAAAGGAAAAAAAAGGCAGAAAGAAATATCAGGGAACACATTTAATCAAAGATTATAGAAAATAATAAAGTGAGAAAGAAAAAAAAAGAAAAAAAAAACGCGTTATTATATAAATTAATATAGAAGCAAAAGCAACAAAAACAAATAGAAACGTTCACAAAGAAAAAGAGTTATCACTACGAAGGAAAACAAAAAAAAGACAACACAGAGAAAAATACCAGCAAAAAAAAAAAAAAAAAATGAAAATGAGTACCGCAGAGAAATAAATAAATAAAACACGACAAAGCAGTCGTTATATTACCATTCCTATTTTTTCTTTTTTACCGTAAAAAGAAGAAAAAGAAAACCCTGTACCTTATATTTTTTTCTTCATTTTGGTATTTAACCAAAACGTGTATCAATAACCCGCATTCCCCAAAGAGAGTCCTTAGTTTCAATCGCTATCAAACTCATAAGAAAAAAAGAAAAAGAAAAAAAAAAACAGGCATTAAAAGGAGCCTTAACAGACCTCCCTTCTACCGCTTTTAAAGCGGAAAGGGGGATGAGTTGAGTTGGGTTGAGCGGACTTCCCAAACTTACAACATTAGGATGAGGTCCATATCAAATAAAATGGTAAAAATAACAATATACATATATTTCGCTGAGAAACAATAATAATTTAGTTTTTTTTTTGTTTTTTTTACAAGACGATATCATTCCTTTCACAAGTTCTCATCAAAAATAATAATAATAATAAATGCATATCAACACCTTTTTCACGAATTTTTGCTGGTTGTCAAGAGGATATTATACATATCCACTACAGCGGAGTAAATACCCTGGGCAAAATCTTGTGCCGACCCCTGTGGTCCACCTTCCTTCCAGCATGAGATATTAAACATCACACAATTATCTGCAGCCGCATATCCAATCCCATATCCAGGACTCACAGGTCCGAAACCACCACCAATAAGAGCATCTGAATAGAGTGAAGATGTACTTAACATATTACTTGAAAGTGTTGTATACGATGGATCTTTAAAAAGCATTGGTACATGCTGTGGATTACGACGTTGCGCTACCTTTAAAAGAGCAAATAAGTGACGATCTATACCTTCACCCATTTTTGCATTTTTAGAAAGACTGTTATGTTTTTTCAAAGCTCTTTTAAGTGCTACCACCTTTTCCCTCGTCGTGGCATTAGGTGCATCCATTAACATAGTGAAAGCTTGACTTTCTAAAGTTGCAGAGCGAACACACTCTGTACGACCACGAAGAAAAGCAGAAGTACTTGCACTTTCATATGTACTTACCGTACTTTTATACATACGCCACCAAGCTAGCTGCATCGCAACTTGAAAAAAAGGATCTGTCTTAATACCCCTTTCTTTAAATAAAACACTATCTTTTCCAATTTCAGATAAAATACAGGTATAAAAATCCATACGACGAATTTCTGAAGTAATTCGTGCTTTTGCTTTAGATGCTTCCTGTTCAACTTCTGGTGTTAGATACCATTTAATTTGTCGAACAACTTCTGTTGAAACCGCATCACGTTTCATTCCTTTACTACTTCGCATAATAGAATGGTTAAAGACATCTTGTGTGTAACGAAGAACTGCCACACCATCACCCCAGCTATGTTCAAAATTTACTCCAAGAGATCCATCTTTCGTGATTATAACAGATAGACTCTTATCCCACCAACGGTTTGTATCCTTTACGAGCATTGTACGAGTTGCTGAAATATTACCTTTTGATGTTAAGTAATCTACTTCAATATCATCATCTAGATTTAATACAAACATAGCAGAGTCTATTAGTTCAAAATTTTCTTTATTTTCATGATTACGCATCATCATTAAACGTGATGCATTCCATGATGTTCTGTTCATACTGGTAAGTACACCAACATCTGTTTTGGCAGGTGCCACATTCATATCAATAATAGCCTTTAATCTTGCATATATTTGTTCCTCAGGTAATGGTTTACACTCACTATCTGCAACAGTTACAACATACTGATGACCTCTGTGTTGTACAATTATATGTGGAATAAATCCAAATGATTTTACCTCATCTTTTAGTGATCCAGGGATTCGGGTAGAATTCATTAAATTATCATATTGTGACATATCAAGAGGGAAAGCATGAAAATTAGAACCAATCGTCATTACCTTTGCGGAAACATATTCAGGAGATAAAGCTACTGTCCTTTGAAACCAGTCTGTTCGACAGTAATGATTTTTAGAACCAAAATAAAAAACCTCTGGTTTAAGTGTATTTTCTAGATACATTCGGTAAAAGGCTACACTACTGGTAATCCAAAAGGTTGCACGAGTAAGCATATCCGTTTTATCATTATCTCGTCGAACGACAAGGCATGGATTATAATTTATTGGTAATGGTCTCCGGTCTGATAAATATAAATCAAACCAATCCGCTGAAATATATGATGTATGTTTATTTGCCTTATCTGTACGCACCAACTCATCATGAAGTTGAGCACCTTCACAAGTTTCAAATGATTTTACAATTTTTTTAGTTTCATCATATTGTCTTGGTGGTACCAGTGGTTTAACGGCATCCAAGTATCGTGAACAAGTGCTAGCAAGTTTTGGAATTGGTAAACGAAAAAGACTGCGCTGCAGATGTCTTGTTGGAATTACAGAAGTATCGAGTACTGTTCTGTCTGTACAGACACCATCTGTCATACTCTCAATAACGGGCCGCAGGTGTGTCCAGTCATTTATATCTTTTGGTAATTGCAATAACGCCTGTGAGGAGCCCAGTGAACAGAGTGCACGGGAGCGGCAGAACATTATATTGTATGTAAGTATAATTTTTGTGGTTATCTCTTTTTTAAGTACCTATTTACAATGAATGCAACCAACAGCAGAAACACAAAGAAAGAAAGAGAGAGAAAATGAGAAGATATCAACTTCCAGAAAAGAAACAAAAAAGAGACTCACACAGAAAAAAAAAAAAAAAAATACAACCAATGTCTATTCGAAAGCCTTTTAAGTTACAGAGTGATTTGATTCATGAAGGAGGGGGGTAGAGGTGGTGGGATTGAGTAAAAATGATAAAAAAAAAAAAAAGAAAAAACCAAGCAGGAACACAAGCATGAACAAAGTAAACAAGCAAGAATATCTCAACGCAATAGAAAAAGGTCTATATTTGATCATTCTTAAACCCGTCGCATAATCACTGTAGCGTTTCGCAGTTTAGCAGCATCAATGGTCAATGAAGTATCCTGCAGTGGACGTGGTGGAATATCTCGAGCGATCAGTTGAAAAGCCACCGCACCCGGTTGTGCATGTTGTGCTGCCAAAATAAAAAGATCACCCACAGTGTGACGTTTAGGGTTCACTGTAAACTCCTTACGCTCACCAAGAAGGTTAACAATCACCAACTTGGAAGTTTCCTCATCCTCGTGTAATTGAAAAGTTCCACTTCCTGCATTCGCAAGACTTGATGCAGTCGCCTCCGCAGCTCCTGCACCTGCTGTTGTAGTTGTAGTGGTGGTGGGACTACACAGTCGTCGTCCTTCTCCCGTAAACGCTACATGCGTTGTTGGGGCATCCTGTTGTGTACAATCCACGAGACGAACAGATATATTTGTGTTTGGATACATTGCCGCCACACTGTCTGGCACCACGCCGTTATTAAGTGCATTAAAGAAGGCCATCCCCTCTTCACTGTCCTTTTCCTGTCGAGGTCCATTATCGATGGTGTAACCATTACGATAGACCGTTACGACAATATCACGATGTTGATGGGCTGTTGAGGCAATAAACGGGCTTGGCGCCGTGGTGTATCCCAGACGCCGGCCGCGGCCAAAGAAGGCCTGCACACCGTCCGCATCCTCACCGGGTGTCTGCGCCCGCGCCCGTTCAAAAATAGACTCAATCACATCCTTCACCTTATCCTCACCGCCAAGCACCACCTGTCCAGAAGAAGGACCACCACCCACAAAGTGTTTCTCAGCCTTCTGTCGATCTTTGGAAGCTGGCAAAGAAGATTGTTGTTGTTGTTGTTGTTGTTGCGGTGGTGGTGGTGTTTGTTTGTCTTGGGGTGCATTAGATGCCTCCTCCAAGAAGTTAATAACACTCTCTGCACTTCCACCGTATCTCTCCAGCAGCTCTAGAGCCTCATCATGCTTTAACCAAGGCATATACGCAGTCAACTGCGCCACCTCAGTATTCTTATCTGTTGGCATCACGGCTGAGTTGTTAACCTTTTTTTTTTAATTCTTTCTTTTCTCCTGTGTGTGTCTCTCTTCTCTTTAAACTTCTATTTATATTTACTCTTTTTTTTTGTTTTTTTTATCTTATACTCGTTCGTTTTTCTTCTCTCTTTTCTTTTTTATTTATTTGCCCTTTTTCTTTCTATTAATTCAATTCCTGACACCTCTATTATCTTTGATGAACAGTATGAATCAAGTTCACCTTTAACACATAATCGATAATAATAATAATAATAATAATAATCGATAATAATAATAATAATAATAATAATAATCGATAATAATAATAATAATAATAATAATAAAACAAGAAGAATAGAAGCAAAAAAAGCACTGATGAAAAACAACAAGATCCGTCCCTAAGTCTCTGAGTGTATCAAAAAAAACAATCCAATCACCGTAATAAGAGAAAACCTCTCAAATCTTTTTTGTTTAACAAAAAAAAAAAACTTAGTGTTAACATTACGCCCGTGCAACAAGGCAGGGATAGTAATGGAAGAAATAAAAAAAGTTTTTTGTTTTTTTTTTTTATAAAATGGATGAATTAAGGAGAATGTGTCAGATTCATACATAAAAACAACTCCGTCACCTAGAAAGTCTTGCTAGAAGAGAGAAAACAGCAGGTACAGATGAATATGATACCACTACACTTCTTTTAAGCAAACTTAAATAGGTTTAAAAAGATGCTATAGTAATCATCTACTTTTTTTTTCTTTTTTTTTAAAGTATTGTTTTCATTTCTATCCCTCATTTTAAATATCCCTTCGTATCTTTCACTCATGCGAGTTGTACCTGTACTAAACATACACTGTTACACATATGTCATCTCATTCCCACAGCCTCTTTCTCACAGCCGTTCTTCATAATATATATATGTAGGCACATATATTATGAAGAGCGACTGGTTTGGGGGTTTTCCCATTTTTCTATTTGAGGTTCAGTACCTACATTTCTTTAAAAACCACTCATTAAAAGTGGATTATAAGGAATCCCTTTATATAGACCATATGGCTGGTACAGATATCATCAAAGCGCAAAAGAAAAAAGAAAAATGACTACCACAACTTATGTAGAGTCATTAAGGAGAAGAAAGAACAAATTCTTTTTTTTTTCTTTTTTTTACCTCTTTTCCACGCCTAATTCCCTTTTATCATTGGTATACATTGGTTTTAGAAAAAAAGAAAAAAGGCGAATGGAAAACTTCTATCAGGTTTCTCTTATTTATTTACTTATTTATTTATTTTTTGCTCTGGCCTACAATACCCACATGCTGTCATTATGAAGCAGCACGAAGAGTAATATTAATATTAATAGCAATAGCAATAGCATAAGGATGCCTGAAAAAGACTCCTCCTACTTCATTCACTACCTCTGCTCTACTTCTCTCTTTCTTTCTCCCTATATATATATATATATATATATATAGGGATATATGTTCCTACGAATTATGTGGTTACTTCTGTTGCTGTAGAAGGTTTCAAGTAATCAGCAATCTCCGCACAGGCGGCCGCCATGCGTCCCAGCTCCACTACACTACACAACTCATCCGCCGCAGAGGCGTACACACACTTTGGAACATCTGCAGGGGCAGATTCCTCCTCTTCCACTACTGTTTCCCGCGATTGAAGCTTCACAGCTCCCGCACTCACCCAATCCTCATCATCATCATCATCAGTAACAATATCATCCGTATTACTGTGTACACTGCTCTCACTATCATCGTTCTCAGTACTTTCATCACCGGCACGTCTACGAAGCGATCGATCGGCGAGTGCAATCACCCGACCAATAACAGATTGACTGAGTTCACCGCCCCTTGTCTCACTTCCCTCGTCAAGCGCCTGCAGGATATCTGCACTACCAAAGAATTGACATTCCAACAAAACATCATTGACACGCAGTGCGCGTCTGTCTGCACGGCGTCCACCTCGCCGGTGAAGTCCCCCATTGCAGTTTTCCATAAATTGATCAAAAAGACCGTATTGACCACAACTTAAAGCTTCTTCCTCTTCTTCTTCTTCAATCTCGACCACTTGCTGCTGAAACGTATCCGACTTATTCTCCTCTGACACATCAACACCAACAGCAGTAGTATTAGTAATAGTATTAGCAGTAGTAGTATTAACAGTAGTATTAACAGTGGTATTGACATTAGTGTCAGAAGGTATAGGAGATTCAGATATACTAACAAGGGAATTATCCTCCTGTGAGGGTCTCATCATCATCGGTTGATCAGCACTCATGCAACGAGAAAGCTTATGCGGTAAAAAATGTTCCTTATTCCTCATATCCCTGAGATACAAATCTTCAAAAGAATGACAACGTGAAAGAGTCTTTTTCTCAAAGAATACAGTACTGCCGTTTACACTCTTAAAAGAAGCGGGAGTGCTACCCTTCAAAGACTGAGTTCTAAGGTGAAATGCTCCACCTGTTGTACTTCTCCCACTTTGTGGAGTTGCAGGAGTACGGAAACCAGTGAGAACTGCCGATAATGGAGTTTGCGGTTCCATAGCTGTAAACTGCTCTAAACGCGGATGACGAAGAAGAAGTTCCACTCTTTCCTTCTCGCCCCATTCACGCATCATATCAAGAGCAACGACGGCCTCATCATCCACAACCTCACAATCATTAGGGTTCATAGAGTGTAGGGAACGTGTCTGAAAAAAACTACTATTCTCTGCATTTCCTTTATATAGACTTTTTGGACGTAAACGATGATCCTCTCGTGATTTCTCATCCTTTCCAAATGTCCAACAACGTGAAATAAAAGCGGAAAATGTTTCTTGTCGGGATTCAATTTTATAGCTGCTATCATTGCTACTTCTGCTGCTGTTTTTCCTTTCGGCTGAAATATAATCACACATTCGACTCTCTGCTGTACTAATATCACTATCATCATGGGTATTACCCGCCTTTTGTCGTCCCTGTACTTCCAGCAGTTCCTGTGATTGAGTATCCGTACACGAAGGTGTTTGCGATTGCCCCTGTGTCGTGCTAGATACAGCGACACTCTCCGCAGGTGGATTCCCATCTTTTAGCCGCAAAGCCGCATCGTAAGCGTCAACATGTGTACTGTAAATAGGTGTTGTTGCATTATCCACAGTGGATACACCCATACAGGTGGACAGAGCACCAACGGTGGTGAGAGACTCCATCGACACAGTAGTAATAGTAATAGTAATAGTAGTAATAGTAATAGTAGTAGTAAAATACAGAAAAACAAATACAGATCGAAAAAAAATTTAGTTTGGAATACAATATATATATATATATATATATATATATATATATTGAAGAAAAACCTCAGAGAAAATGAAACTATACACACGTAAATATATATATATAAAAATAAATAAATATATATTTATATATATTTATTTATTTACCTCTTGGAGGTTGTTGCTGTTCTTTTTCTTTTTCGTAAAAGAGTACAAACGCACCCCTCCTAATTTATTTATAATGGCAATGAACACAAAGGATTTTCTTCAATTGTTTCTCTTTTCGTTTTTTTTTTTCCCCAGTCTTTTTCCTCTCTCTCCCTCAACTCCAAGAGGAAAACAGCAAGGTAAGCACAGGAAAATAAGCAGGATAAAAAAAAAGCACACACACAAAGAAAAGGATGCACAAAGCGAAAAATAAAAACAATGAACTTCTCAAAAAAAAAAAGACGATGAAATCGTTTTGCGAAAAGAGAAGTCCACAAACAATTCTGCACAAGGAAAAAAAAAAAATTCACAAAAGTAAAAGAAATCAAGGGATGAAACTATGTTTTTCAACCTCTTCTTTTTCTTCTTTGGAACTATTCACTGAGTGTCTGCGTTTGTAAAGTGAAATAATTTTGTTTCTTTTATTCTTTTGGGTGTTTTTTTTTTTTTTTTTGTACTCCTCTTCGTGTTATTAATATATATATATTATATACAAGTGATTTTTTTTTTCTTTTCAGAGAAGTTTCAGAAGCAGAAGACCTGAAAATAAAAATAAAAAATCCACCACACCTTTTCTTTTCTTTCACGCCAGTAGACTATACACCTCCGTCTCTCTGGTTTGATCAAAGGACAAAGAACAAGTAAAAATGGCAGAACAATGAGAAAAAAAAAAAAACAGAAACAGGGAGAAAAAGTGGATTCTCAGCAGATTGACAAAACAAGGAAATGAAAAAAAAGGGTAAGAAAATACGCTTTAACTATAACACCTTCAAGTCTACAAGAAAAGAAAAAAAAGGCGATTTAAACGACTTTTTTCTTAACTTCCTTTGTTGTTGTTGTTGTTCTCTTGTGTAATTTCTCCAATGAAAGATAAACTATATGGGAGCAGAAAAAGGAAAAGAGAAAATAAAATCTCTTTTTCCTTCTCTGTTTATGCTGACGTCTCTCTCTTTCTCCTAAAACCACGTTTATGTGCGAGGTTTTTGTGAGACGTTTATGTACTCTTCCTTTCTTCAGTGTATTTAACGCTTACTTCTTTTTTTTTTCTTCTTTCTTTCTTTCTTTCTTTCTTTCTTTCTTTCTTTTCCTTTTTCTTTTTATACTTTATTGCAATTATTGAGTGTGTGTGTGTGTGTGTTTGTGTGTAGAGGAATAAAACCCCCCAAACAACACAATCCTGGCGGCAGAAGAGTAAATGCGCAGACGGTCCTCCACGTGCGGCTCTTCAAATCCCCTCAACGCCCCTCTCCGCTCTCCTCGCCCGAGTGTGAAATGACTGCGGCCCGCGGCCCACAACGACCAGTCGCTGCTGCTGTTATTGTCCAGTGAGAAGTGTGAGAGAGAGGGACGACAGAACCCTCCCCCTCAACCCGACCGCCGGAACGGTACGAGTGTGGCGACTTTCCATAAGAGAAATATAACATTATATATAAATATATAGATAGGAATAAACAAAAAAAAAAAAGAGAGGAACCAAAAAAAATTATTATTATTATTATTATTATTATTATTATATATATTAATATATATAAACATTTATATAATTAGATATTAATTGCACACATGTCTTAGAGTAAGAATACTGGTAGAGTCATATTGGGGAGATATGATAAAGTCATATGTGAACAGTGTTGAACAGAGGAAAAGAGATCCAACACAAAGATAAAGACTTATTTCTTTTTCTCATATCCCATCTCATCTCATCCCTGTGTCTGTATATCTCTATCTCTCTTCTTCAATATGTATGTAAAAAGAACCAATTTAATTTTTTTCTCTCCTTTTCCAAATCATGTACTTGCACACGTATATCTTTCGTCGCTTCTTCACTCCTTACATTATTTACGCTTCACTCGCATAATATCAGAAAAAAACAAGGGATCCAACACACACACAAACAAACGTATCACCCCCTGTCATTTTATTCATTTCTGTCATCCATTATTCACGATCGCAGCACCCAATGCCGATGTTCTTGATTATTTACGATATTCAAGTACCACAGAGAACAGAAGAGACGAAAAAGAAGAAAAAAAAAAAACATCGCATTCTCAGAGAGTAAGAAAAATAAGGAGCCACAAAAAAAAAAAAAAAGGAGCTAAACTTTATTCATCATCTTACCCAAATTATCCTTTCCCTTAACATCCCCCCATTCCATATATTCAAATAAAAAAACAAATAAAATTCAGGGATATCTAGAAGAGAAAGTAAAAAAAAGAAAAAAAACATATTTTTTTTGTTTGCAATCAAAAAAAGCAAAAGATGCACTGTGAGTCTTCAGTTTTCTCTTTCTTTATTTCTTTTTATTATAATTTTTTTTTTTTTATTTTGCTCGTTTGGTGGAAAGAGCAAAATGAGGAAAAACTCATGTAATGGTTTTCCCCCTTCTTGCAATCACCTTAATTGATAATAAACTACACCCATCTCTCTCACATATATCTTCTGCAAAATATTTAGCAAACACCAAAACTGCTATCACTACCTTCATCATGATCCTCACTAGAGTTATTACTGTTATCATTGGTACTACTTCCCCCATCATGTTCATCCCCTTTCAACACAGAGGAAGAAGATCTAGATGCCTCACCAGTAGCAATAGCAACATTTCCTCCTTTTCCTTTTCCTTCTCCTCCTCTGTGCATAGAAAGAAGGGATGAAAAGACACTAATATTTTGTTGTGAAAAGTAATACGCCTTAAGTGTATTCTGCATTAAGTACGCTACAGTTAACGGACCGACACCGCCCGGCACAGGTGTCACTGCCGCCGCTTTTTCTCTAACCGAAATCATATCCACATCACCGCAGAGACGTCGAGGTTTATCAAGAGTATCATTGTTACTAACATTGCTACTATTATCCTCGTTTATCGCAACATCAATTACTATAGCACCTGGTTTTATAAAATCTGCCGTTACAACTCGTGGAATGCCAAGTGCAGTCACGAGAACATCTGCATGTCGACTCACTTCCCTCACTGCATCAAGATCATTACTTCGATTACAAAGAGTTACCATAATATTTTGTTCTCTTTGTAGTAAAGCTGCTGTAGGTACACCAACTACCATACTTTTATTCATAATCACAGCATGCAGATTTCGTTGTTGTGCAGCAGGTGATTGTTGTTCTGGTTCTACTGTTATTGTTTCTTCTTCTGTCGATATAGTTGTCTTGTTAAGATATGAAAATAACAAGGCACGTACTGCCATTGCCGTACAAGGCACAAAGTATTTTCCCTCCACTAGATGGCGCGAGACCAAAGTCTCTGCCTTGGCTATAGAGAAATTACGTTGAAGGACACCAGCGTAGATTGGGTTTTCGTGTAGAAAGAGATTCCCCGCATTAAGTGGGTGAAGTCCATCCACGTCTTTCTGTGGATGAATACACAATAACGCCGGCCGCACACGGAGATGCGATGGTAGTGGCAATTGCAGCAGTACTCCATCAATGGACTCATCGCGGCAAATCCACTGCAGTTCACGGTGAAGTTGCTGTTGCTGCACAGATGCGGGAAGTTGGTGTAAATGAAAAGAAATACCGCAGCGCTCTGCGGCCCGTCGCTTCATGGCAACATACCGCTGTGAATCTTGTCGGTCCCCAATCATCACAACCGCAAGTGATGGAGGACGTCTTAATAACGAAATCTCAGATTTAATCCGCTCAAGCATCACGGCAGAGAGACCACGGCCACTAAGAATTTCAGCTGGCATACCGCTGTTTATTTTGCAGTGATGCTTACTGGATGTGTGTTCGCCCCTATTAGGGTTTTTTTCCTTCTTTTTGTTTCTTTTCTTTACTTCTCTCTATTTCCTCTTGTGAAGTTAACTTTTTTTTTTCTGGTTTTGAAAGGAAGGTGTTTTTTTCTTTCAGTTTGTATTTGCTTTGCTTTTGTTCGGTTACACGAGAACGATTATGCACACCAAATACAAAGACAAATAAAAAGATTATATATATATATATATATAATCTTACACGTATTAGCCCTTCCCTTCACTTCCCTTTAAAGCGGCTTCTGTACGTGTGTTCTTTTAAGTAACAAAGGGCAAGAAAAAGGTGTTATTTTGGCAAAGAATCCAAAATAAAAAAGGCTGTATACAGTACTCACTATAACCATGCAAACATATACAAGATAATTATTTTGTTACTATTAGTGTAGTCATTGTTGCAGTTTTTTTTTTTTTTTCTTTGTCTTAATTACTGATATAAGATTATTATTTACTCTTCTGTATGTCATTAGACAGCAATAAACCAAAAAAAAAAAAAAATTGGTAATAACTTGTGATAAAGAAGAAAAAAAAATGTACAACAAACAGATATGCATACACATTAATATATATTTTTATGTGATGCTATTCTTTTTTTTTTCTTCTGTCAATGCACTTAACTCTGTGTATCCTTCTTATTTGAGAAGGGAAATGTCAAAAGTGAGAGCAAAGCCCTTTCCGTATCATTCAGATCTGGTAAAAGCCCTAACAAACACTCTGTAGGAGAAGAGGCATTAGTTTTCATGTCTTCCTGCAGTTGTGCGAAGAGTTCCGCAGTAGCAGCATTTAACTCTTGCAGCCACTCTTCCGATTGTGGTAACTGACGCCAGAGACTCAGTGCCCATGCTAACGTCTGAGGAATCTTTACACAGGCACTATCCATCAAAGAACCCGTGTTGTTATCATCACTAACATTATCCAAATTAGAATCGCAAGAATTCTTCTCTATATGAGAAGAATTACTACAAGATGGTAGAATCGCATCCCATTGGATCTTTTGTTTTTTCAACATTAATACAGTCAACTCCGCCTCCTGCTGCTGGCGAGCGAGTGTCTGGTACTCCACCTGCAGCAACAGTCCATTCGCGGTGGTGTGGGCCAGTCGCGCTGCGGCCGCATTTCTCTCAAGATGCCACTTTTCTTCTTCACATCTCGCGACTGCGGCCCGTCGTCGCAACGTCTCAATTTCACACCGCCGCTCCTCCGCCTCCCGCTGCATGTTTGCAATCATTTGAAGGTACTCGTGCACCTCCGCGGCGAGCTCCGCATCATCCCCCACCGCAGAGGAAATGGAAGACGTATGCATCTACACTGCCAGTGTGTGTCTTTATGAGTATGTATACAAACCCTAAGGAAAAAAAGAAGAAAAAGATGATAATAATAATAGAAAAAAGAAAAAAGAATTTCTGAGCATAGGCGGTAACAGAGAAATGACACTCGTAAGGGTGGAAAATAAGAAAAACAAAAACAAAATAAAACATTCAGATATAACTAAGGAGCAAAGAAAAGAAAAAAAAATCATTCCAAGAAGCAGGTAGAAGAGAGAAAAAAAAAAAAAAAAGAAAAAAAATTTCTCAAGCAAAGATCAGAAATATATAAGCACTACATTTGTGTGAAATAGTGAAGTTTCAATAGTTATTAAAAAAAAAAAAATTTTTTTTACTGTATATTTGGTTCCATCTGTATATGTATGCATATGTATGTATATTGTATGTGGGTAGGTAAGTGTAAGTGTACATTCGTATACAGATATCTATTCCCTTCTCCATTCTTAAACAGCAAGAAGAGCTTTTGTTGTTGCTGCTGCTAAAGACTCCACTCTGCCCTTCTTGGTGTACGCATAGTGTGGATTACACACACCTTCACCACGGCAGAAATACGGGCAATCCTGCACAGATACGAATGGACACTGACCCAACACACCCAAATTCTCAAAAACAACCACAAAAGGACGAAGAAGTGGTATACTCTGTGCTTCACGCATCTCTGAACGCTGAATGAATTTTCGACGGCACTCCTCTGCATGCAATAAAGCCTCCACCGCACGCTCAAACCGCATTTTCGCACCTGTTACCCATTCAAAACGTTGTCTGGCTTTTCGAACACGGCGTTCATTTTGTATTATTGTTTGGCGCTGCTCCTGTTCTACTTGAATGAGTCGTTCAATTCGGAGAGAAAAACTTTCTACAACCCAAGGTAATATCAATTTGCGTCGACGCTCTTCAGATTCTTCCTTCTTGCGCCGAAACTCCATAAATGCCGTTATACTTTTTACGCTATGTTCTGCTTGACGTAAAATACTCTTAAAACCATCATCCTCTAATTTAAGCAATTCTCTATACTTTTTTCGCTGTTGTATCAAGAGTCGACGTATTTTTTCCTTCACACGTCCAGCACTATCCACATCACTTTGTGCGACGGAAGCATTATTTTCTGCTGCTAGGACTACATACGTACTGCGGTTCCCACTGACTGAAGTGGACATTCCTGCTGTTGATATTCGTGGAAGCGCCTCTCGAGTGGCGGAATCCCTATCACGATAGACGGCGATAGACCACGGTGTGCTCAGTGAGTCATCAGGGCACGGCGGCCGCAAGGATGGTAGCTCTGTACGTGTTGGCATATTGTAAACACCTAGTTAATAGAAAAAGATATAAATAAATTTATAAATATAAATATATATTTATATTTATATATATTTATTTATATATTTATATATATTTATATATAAATATCACCTCTTTGTCTTTATCTAAAAAGGAAAGGGAAGGGGAGGGAATGTACTGTAATGCCTCAACTGCTGTTCCCGGATTCGCTCCTCTGCGATGAATACAGAGACACAGAAAGAGAGAAGGAGAGAAATGGCCAACTATTCACCTAAATGATGTGTAGTTGTTAGTACAGTAGAAAAAAAAAGAAAAGAAAAACTTCTAGTTTTCCTTTCTAGAAGAAAAAAGAGGCTATAAACTACAAAAACACAGTTTCAAAAGAAAAAAAAAAGAGAGAACGAAGGAAGGCAAATAAATACAGATAAATTATATTACAATATTTTGTTCACTTTTGTTATTTGCAATATAATTATCCACAATTGTTTATTCCATATACAAACATATAAAATACATTTACCTATAAGTAAGAAAGGTGACTTCCAATATTTCCACCAAAATGACCAAACAAAGAGACACATTGGTACATTTGAGTTATCTAAAAAAAAAAAAAACTCTCATATTTTTTTATTCCACACATACACAGGCATATAAAGAAACATTTATATACTTATAATATACAACGACACATCAAGAAAAAAAATATATAAAACATAAATAAATAACGATGATACTTACCAAAAACACCTACTACTTCATTCTTGTGTTAAGGTAGGAAGCAAAAGTTCACAGAACTTTTCAAAGTTTAATGTGTCATACGTACTATTATTGGTGGCAGCAGTGCGGAGAATAGACTCTGCCTCCCCTGCTCCAATACTGGTGCCTGTTACACGTTGACTAGCTTTCATAAGCGCCACCTTTGTCACTTCTTCTTGCTCACCGAAAAAACTAGTGAAGACACTGTGAAGACATGCCCGAACCATGCGTGTACGCCGTTCCCCATCTGCCCAGAGAGCATCCATAATAGCAAACATCTCATTGAGTGTTATCATTCGATGTTGTGACCAGGGCTCTCCTGCGGCAGTGATACACGCCTCACGTATCTCACGTAGCGTAAACACTTCTCCTCCAACTATTCTCTTTGCTGTTGACGATGATGGTGTTCCTTTTGCTACCCCATCTGATGGGAATAAAGCGCACAGAATAGGGCGAAGCTGTCGGCACTCAATACGTCCCCCATCTTCTTCATCCCATACAATGAAGAGAAGTGATGCCTGGTGTTTTTTAAATTCCAGGAATGAGGAAGAAATCCACTCTTTAGAACGATTCTGTATCGAACCATTACACATTCTTCTTAAGTGTATTCTAATAATATCTGGATGTTAACCTTTTCCGTTTTTTTTATTTTTTTTTTGATGTTGTTGTTACCCTTTTCCTCTTACTGTGATGAAAGGAATGTCTCTTCACTCTCTTTACCGATCTATTTCAATATACCTGCGTCTCAATGACTTGGTCTTCTCTGCAACAACTATTAGACTTCACATTAGAAGAAGAAATAATAATACAAAAAGAAATCAACAAAATATAGAAAAAAAAGAAATAAAGAAAAAAACACCTTTAACTAGATTCATTCACAATTCATAAACTCCATTAAACGTACCCATAAATACCTCTTAACATCTTTTTGTTTTTCGCTCTTGGCCCTCTCCCGTCGTTTTTTTTTTTTTTTTCTGCTTCTATTCAGACGTGAGCGGGGAAACATGATTCCTCCACTTTTTTTTCATTTCTTGTCATGTTTCACTTTTCTTTTAACAAATTACCAATCTAGCTGTGAAATTCTTTTTTTTTTTTTCATTCTTTTCTCTTTCTATCCTTGCCGTTGTTGTTGTCTCTTCTTCTTTTTTTCTCTCATTCTTTTCGATTCCATGCTTTACTGATAGAATAACAAAATGTCTCCACCACAGTCACACTTCTCATCTCCATTACGCCCAGATGAAGGTGTAGAATATGAAAAAAAGAAAAGGAAAAAAAAAAAAAACAGAGACGGATACTATTCTGTCTTTCCCCTCCACACGCATTACGACACCAGACCTGCAGCTCTAAACTGAAGCCATGATGACAGCAGTTGCTGCTCCTTGGCGTCCAAGACATTTGTCCAGGCAGCGGCAAAGAGTGAGGTACACTGCAGTTCAGAGGCAGCGAGGAGAACGTGCCCAATGGCAGTGACTTCCAGACCACGTGCCACTTCAAGTTCGCTGGCGCCATTGCGGAGAATTTCGCTCAGCGCCTCCCCGTCATGTTGCTTCGCGCGGCGTACAATCTGCGTCATGAGATCACTGCGGAGCTCGTCGCTCACGTGACAGGCGATGCGGGCGGCGTCTGCCCACGCGGCGGGCTTCTCGAGCCGCAGGAGCCGCTGGACGGCCTCCCCGGCGCCGAGGACGACGTCGCGGGTGTCGGGGAGAAGCCACGCCCGCTGCGCCGCGACGAGGGCGGAGTCCAACCGCAGCCGCCGGACTGCCGATGAGCGGCCGGCCGCGTCGCCCCCCGCCACCCACGCGAGCCGCGCGAGGGCCACGCAGCGGGAGCGGTGCGCCGCGGCGTCCCCACCGTACGCGAAGGGGGCTGTGGGAAAAGCAGCGGATGTGGAAGAAACGGCGGAGGAGGAAGAAGATGAAGAAAATGGGGGCCGCAGTCCGTCCGCCAGGAGAGACTCGAAGGCGCCAGGGACCACCAGCCACGCGAGGTGCGGCGCCGCCCGCAGCAGAAACGCATCACGCGCCACTCCCGCCGACGGGTACGTTGGCAGTAACTCCGGCAATAACTGTAACTCCCACTCACGACGCTGGGAGAGGAGAGAATGAAGTGCAATATCAAACATAGCAGGGTTGCGTTCGCAGAAATTTGCAAGTTGGTTGTATTTTCGTATATCCTGCAGTGGATTCTCAACAGGTTCAGCAAGGCAAATAGCAACAAGGATATCGCCTGCAGTAAATTCTAGTGCAAGTTCCTGACACAAATGTAGTACCGTCGCGCCAAGTGTCCCATCTGAAGCAGGTTTAGGAGCACCAAATGGATATCCTAATGGTTCACGTAAAAAGGGTTCTCGGAATAACGTACAGCGCATGGCATCAGAGTAAAATGAAGAACTTCCTTGTGAGTGATTTCGGAATGAAAAATGCATTACCAACGCAATAAGATCTAGTAGATGTAATTGATCTACAAGTGGAACAGTCCATGTTGAAGGACCAACCTTTTCAGATTGATGGCTAGGAACCATTGTAGTAGTGGTAGTGGTATTGACAGTATTGTTACTTGTAGCAACAACCTCTGCCAATGCGTTGGATAAAGTTGTACATGCACTTGCCATTTGTAATTGAATCCCATAGTGTTCCATCTCTGAACTTGTCCACAACATACAAGAAACACTATCTGGTACAGTGTAAAATTTTGCCATATCTCCACGTGACTCATCTACTGCACGAGCAATAAGGAGAAAAATAGTAGCCACAGCCATTGCTTCTTCAAATTTCGTTCGATGATCCATTAATACACTGCGTTGCGTCTCAACAAGGTGTTCTCCAAGTACTTGCAATAACATACAAAGTCGACTTGGTTCTCCAAAAACAATTTCTGCTGCTGTACCTAGAGAATTTACTGAATTTTCATCTGTCAATTCACTTCGAACTTTATCAGCAACTCGAATAACGGCTTCACGTAACAATTGCTGACATTTTTCTCGTTCAAAAGAGCTTCGTACCAAACGATTATAATCATTTACTGTTGAGTTTACACCCCCTTCTTGTAAACTCGCAGGTGTTTGACGATAAAGAGGCGTCAAAATATCGAACTCTACACCTGTAATAGTAAGAGTATTATTATTATTATTATTATTATTATTATTATTAATAGTAGTAGTAGTAGTTGCTGTTGTATTAGCAATATTAGTGGGGGAAAGTGGGTAAGAACTATCATTCTGAAGGCGCCTAATTGCTACCATGCCGAGCAAAGCTTCCTGAGTTGAAAGTAGCTGCGCAATAGTCTGTGGTTGAAGAGATGGTTCAATCTCATCATGTAATAATACAGTTAAAAGAAATCGTCGATGTTCCTGCTGACGGTGAACTAGACTATTTGTTACATGTGCAACCATATTATTATCTTCAACATTAAGATCAGCTCTTGCCCAATTTCCTTCATGTGGTCTTTGACATGAACAAATAGCCTCACTAGCTTCTAATACAGCAGAATCAATTGATATTCTGGCATCAATGCGCAATGCATATAAAACGCTATTTATATTTCGCGTCAAATTTGCCATATTTTCACGCCTACCTGTAAAATGTGACATTCGGCATGCCTCAATTGATTTTTGCTGTTCATTATTAACAGTGGTAGAAGTAACGGCAGCATCCATCATCACCTCATCTGCGCTGACAACAGATTCTATAGGTCCACTAATATCTATTGTCACAATTCGACCATCTTCTAGTAAAGAACTACCAAGTGGGTATTCAATTCCTCGAAGCATATGAACATCTTCGCTGGAACATGGGTTACGTACACTTACGTTATTATTTATACGAACGCAGTAATGACCAGAAAGTACAGTTATTACTTGTCCTGTTTCATCAAGATAAACTTTAGTATGGTGTAAAGGAGTTTCTGCTACTGTTCGTGCCAAAGAACCAATTGACTGCATACTTAGAGTTTGTCTTACTGTGCCATTCTTAATGTCTATCATCACGAGCTCTAAACTTGCTTCGTGTCCATTGCATGGCATTAGATAAACCAAACAGCACAACTGCGTTGTCGACTCGTCAAAAGCCACCACACGTCCTTGACGCTGTAAAACTGAAGAGATATTAGCACCCCATTTGGCACGAATAAGAGTATCATTTGCACGTCGTCTGTGAAGTGGAGCAAAATCCAATAAAAATACCTCTGATGCTCCACTCACAGCCCAGAGTTGAGTAGGTTTCTCAACACGAAACTTCAATAATGTGAATTCATGTAGAGCACTCGCATCCACTGAAGCATTGCTTTTAAAATTACATTCACTACTCAAAACTGAGCTGTTACTGTAAGTGAGAGAAGTATTATTACTTTTTTTCCCTGATGTTAAACCTGGAAGCCATGAACGCCACCAAGATCCAAGAGATGATGAAAACGACATTGGTGAAGTTTGCACTGTTACTCCAGGATCAGCACGATCAAATTCAAGAACAATACGTTCACCTCCTGTCTTGACTGCAACGAGTACTAAACCTGATGTAGTGCCCACAGCTGTAAGCATTGCTTCTTCTTCCCGTTTACACGCAAAGGATGAAACAATAATGCTATCATCTTCGCAATCAAATTGGAATTCAACAGAGTGATCAAGACTTGATACGGCACCATAGTCTGTACAGAATGCCAGTGATTCTTCATCAGGACCGAGTTCCGCAACAAACAATGGTAATCCTTCATCTCTTGTAAATGTAGGAATCTGTGCCATGCGTGGGGCACTGCGTTGCCAGAAAGGCTTGTGCATATTCCATACACGTAAAAGACGTGTATTCTCGTCAACAATCCAACAGCTGTGTTCGCCAATACCAGAAAGAAACACAGATGGGCGAATAGAAACACCTCCTACACGAATCTCAGCCTCAGCCATCGACGTCGGTCTCACACGTTCAGAACCCATAGACACAAACGGATCAGCTGCTGCTACCATCGGTGCAGTCAACTGACTCATGTCCACTGAATCTTCCACACTACTCAGCGGTGATCGCTGCGTCCGGGCAACCTTCGCGGGTGGAGCAAACGCAAACATTCGATACCACCCTACTTATATACCCTACGCGTAAAGTTCCTACCGACACTTGTAATACTTCTAACTTCGTTTAAAAAATAAAAAAAAAAAAAAACATTAATAATAATAAAGAAATAAATATTATAGAGAGAGATATATGCCCATAAAAGAAAAAAGCATCAAAAAAAAAAAAAAACACAAATTATACAAAATAAAGTAATACTCTATAATAGTTAGACACATTTATTATTTTACTGGGGTTCTGTAAGCTGAAAAGCTTTATTTTATTATTCTTTTGGCTACTCTCTTCTTTTTTTTTTTTTGGCCATTTATGGTGTTGTCATTCTTGATTCTATGTGGAAAATCTATAGTGGTATTTTTTTTTTTTTTTTTGTGTGTGTGTATATGTATGTACTTATGTATGTATGTACGTGTCCATGAGTGCAGGATCAAAACACAATATGATCATGTGTATGAAAGGATAGAGAGAGAAAGAATTAAAAATAAAAAAAAGAATCCTTTCTTTTATCGCTCCTCTTCAGAGTCCCTACTCATTTCCACTAACATACGTTGCATTGGCAAGAGCCATTTAGGATCCATGTGACGGTGTAAAAGCATATCTTGTAGTTTTGGGGCATCTAAAACGGGATCAAAAGAGGGAATATCATCCCACTCAAGTGGACAGCAAAGTGAAGATGTACCGGGATGTACACAGAAAGGCAACTTTAAGAGATGATCACGTCGTGTACTGACATGTTCATCCAGACGTGGATACATTAAAATAATCTGCGCTGCTGCCGTAACATTAGCCGCAGCATCCCCGAGTACTCGCATAACATAACCCCAATCCAACACATTTCCCTCTTCGAAAGGAACATTCTGCATGAAACGCTGTTCAACATCACGGCGGGAACCCATTTTTAATGCCGACACCATCGCATGATATACAACACTAGCACCTTTGGGATGTAAAACACTGTTGGGATTCTCTGGTGATGACTGTAGGAAGAGTTCCGTGAATGCTGGATCAATAACATCCAATTGGACGCGACGAATGGTGGGGTGAATGGGTTTTCCATTCACAAAATCAGCTACAACAGCATGACGAGATGCCTTAGGAGTTACCACAGTTAAATATCCAATCAATGCAGTACGTTCATCATCGTGCATCTTGCAAGCCCGTTTATCACATACCCATAAATGAATACCACGGCGACCAGAAAAAACAGGTAATATATATTGAAATCCAAAATCTTCCTGTAGAACACTTCGCAAGACATTAGCTGCACATGCCATCCAAGTCCAGCAGTATCTGCATATAGACTTCCCACTACAGCAAGAACGTACACTGTCATAATCACTCATATCAATATCAAACACCAATTCACGCTCTACTGGAAGAATACTTGTCGCACTCTGTTTTTGATTAGGACGAATTGTATAAACAGCTCCAACATCAATTTTTTCTGGGTAGCAACGAATAAGTTCACGACGAAGCTCTGCCGCGCTGCTATAACTTCGAAAACGAGTAAAAATATCTCCAAGAAGTGTAAAACAAAATTCTCGACGAGCAAGATAATTCTCAGCAGCAACATTCCTTTGCTCTTTCGTTATGCCAGACTCGGATTGTGGAGAAGCAATAAAGTTAGTAGATCCAACATCGATATCAGCATAAATTTTTCCCACTGCAGATAAGTCGTAGGAGAGCCATTGTGTTACGAGTTCAACAGGGTAGACAAACTCGTAAAACTCCCGTAGCGAAACCTCATCTAACATTATATTCCCACACTAAAATAATTTCTCCATAGACAAAGAAAAAAGAAAGAAAGGAAAAAGAAAAAGGTTAAGAAAAAGGTAAAGAAGAATTAAAAAAAAAAGGATCCTGTCAACAAAGAAAAAA